AGAGTTAATTTTGTGATCAGTAGACTTATTGATGGTTCGCGCTATCGTAAACTTATTTATAGTAGTGGTATATTTATTTTTGAATGATAGACTTATTAGTAGTTGTGGTAGAATTATTTTGTGATCGATAGACTTATTGATGGTTCGCGCAATCGTAGACTTATTTATACTAGTGATAGAGTTATAATATGTGGTAGAGTTATAATATGTGGTAGACTTATTTATTGTAATGGTAGATTTATTCAATCTTTTTACTTCTTTACTAAAACAACCTTAGACTTGTTTATAGTAGTGGTAGATTTATAATATGTGATACACTTATTTATAGTCGTGGTAGTGGTAGATTTATAATATGTGGTAGACTTATTTATAGTAGTGGTAGTCTTATTTATTCAATAAAGGATAAAATCGTAATTTATCTTTCATCTTCTCCATAAAACACCAAGTTTTTTTCAAACCCTAACAATGGCGGCCAGCCATTTTTTAGCTCTTTTTTACTGTATTTTAACTCGTTTTCAACTAGATTTTGCATAAACTAGTAGATCTAACATTATATATCTTTTTCTAACAAAAAAAAATCAAAAGATTTTGAGTTTTTTTCCAACTTTTGATTTTTAATCCGATTTTTACCTAAATTCCGGCCTCCATACCTCCGCCGAGCACGATCATGGGCTTCCGCAGCCTCCGCGACCGCGGTTTNAAACAAATGTTTGATTTTTTTTTTTTTTACAAATTATGAATGGCAAAAACTTGTTATTAAGGTTTATTTGTCTTTCATAACTTATATTGAGTTTTAAGGTTGAATAAAAGTTGTTCTAGTAATTAACCTACTTTCCAAAGTTGGTTTAATAATTATCTCTATTTATTTTATGTTTATTTACTAAGATTTTAGTCTCTATGATTACAAGAAAACAGGGTAACACATCATTTTCTCTAACATCAAAAATAACTTCTCAGTTTGCACTCATTTGAAACGCTACAAGCGAAGCATAAGCACCACCTGAAATCTCCATCAGCGTCTCATGTCTTCCTCTCTCCGCAATCACACCGTCCTTCACAACCGCGATTACATCAGCATTCTTAATTGTAGTGAGCCGATGAGCCACCACAATCGTGGTCCGGTTCACCATCACCCGGTCCAGCGCATCTTGCACCACCCGCTCAGACTCTGCATCCAACGCGCTTGTCGCTTCGTCAAGCAACAAAATCTTAGGATTCTTGAGAATAGCTCGAGCTATCGCAATCCTCTGTTTCTGACCACCGGATAACTGTACACCGCGTTCGCCTACCGATGTTTCGTAGCCTTGAGGCAATGAACTGATGAAGTTATGCGCATTAGCCGCTTGTGCTGCGGTTATGATCTCTTCCTCTGTGGCTCCACCGGTTTTGCCATATGCTATGTTTGAGCTTATTGTCTCGTTGAACAGAACCGGTTCTTGACTAACCAAACCCATCTGTTGTCTTAACCAACTCAATTTTAACGTTTGAATTTCAACCTGATCCAAAAGAATCTTGCCTGAATCCGGATCGTAAAATCTCTCGATTAAGCTTATCACCGTCGATTTCCCACTTCCGCTCTCTCCGACCAATGCTACGGTCTGAAAACCAAATCGTTAGATTAAACCGAAAAAAATCCTCTGTTTTTCTCGTAATTTACATGTTTGTTACCTGTCCAGAAGAAATAGTCAAGGACAAGTCACTAAAGACCTGTATATCCGGCCGCGTAGGATACCGAAAACTAACATGTTGGAACTCAATATCACTGTCCACGTTTTGTAACATCGTCCCCTCGTTAGAACTGGAATCGATTTTCGGTTTACTATCAAGAATATCGAAAATCGAAGCAGCAGAGTCTTTGGCCTTGCTTCTGTCAGGTGCCATGGCACTCGTATGAGATAATCCTGTGGCTGTCAAAGTTAGTGCAAAGAATACCTGCAACGTCAAAACCACTCAAAGATCACACAAACCATATCCAAAACCGGATTATAAACCGAACCAAAACATTTCTACTCTTTTATACCTGAAAGAATTCTCCAAACTTGGCTTTTCCGTTTTGAATCAACCGAGAACCAATGTAGAAACATAAGGCATTGATGAAATATAGAGCCAAGAAAGAAAAACCGTAGCCCGAACCGCTCACGAGTCCTAACCGGACACCTTGTTTCTTCGGTACCGCACATTTCTGGTCGTATAAATCCATCACTTTATCCTCCGCACAAAATGCTGCAACCATTCTTATGCTGCTTACCGCGTCACTCGCGACCTGGCTGGCCTCTTCGTATTTTTCCTGAACAAAAATAAACCGGATTAGACAAGGTTGAACTAGAATTTGAAACCAAGGTTTTCGAATACTGACTTTTGCATTTGCGCTAAAACCGGTTATACACTTGGTCTGAAGATATGCTTGAAGGACCATAATTGGTGTGACAATAAGGACTAATAAAGCCAATATCCAATTAGCCGCAAACGCTATAATCAGTGCAGCGGTTATAGTCGCTATGTTTTGCACGATTAATGCCAATGCATCACCCACTATACTCTTCACTGATGAAGCATCTGTGGACAATCTCGCTCCAATTGCGCCACTGGATATAAAACCGCAATATTAAACAACAAAACATAAGAAAAATAAGTGTTTTCTCGACTTAACTAAGCGTTTAGTGGTTATCATATTACCTAGAATTCGCGGTATTGTCAAACCAACTTATCTCCTGGTGAACAACTTTATCAAACGATAATGATCTTATGCGTTTGATTAATTTTCCTCCAGCGATAGCAAAAAAGTAGTTTTGAAATGGAATCACGATCAAATCGGTTAAACCAAGCGCGACGAAAATGAGAGCCCAGAAAAGCGAGTCTTTCTTTAGTTTATTTGAAGGCTCAAAGAATATCTTGATTGTGGCAGACAGAAGCAAACCTTTGACAGGGTACACAATACCGTGAACCGCTGCAGCCAATGAACCAAGCAACAAAACCGGAATCTCAGGTTTGTTGAGGCGAGCTAGCCGTCTCAACGATACTTTCTTGCGTTTCTTGGCCGTTTTGTCTTCAGTGGACGAGCTATTCTCGTGAATCTCTTTCTTCTGATTCAAATTAGCTGCTCCCGATAAGTCACAATCTTGCGCGGAAAAGAAGGAATGGCGGCTGCTCGATGAATGCCTTCTATGGACTTCGTTTTGGCTATCCAATCTTTCGATTTCAAAACTCGTCTCACGCCTCTCTTTTTCGTCGACTATTCCTCCTTCTTTCTTTGATCCTTCTTGTAGAAGAATGAGCTGTGAATACGCTCCCTCGGGATCTTGGATCATCTCCTCGTGAGTTCCTGATTAGTACAACTCTGTTAATATACACACAAAAGTTGATTACTTGCTCGCTACGGTATACAAAATCTAACCTTTCTCGACGATTTTCCCATCCTCCACAACGGCGATCACATTGGCGGTTTTAATGGTGGTAAGCCGATGAGCCACCACAACGGTGGTCCGGCTCGACATTAGCTTTACAAGAGCGTCTTGAACAACGCGTTCTGATTCTGCATCTAAAGCGCTTGTTGCTTCATCAAGAAGCAAGATTTTAGGGTTTTTCAAAATTGCCCTCGCAATCGCGATCCTCTGCTTCTGCCCACCGGATATTTGCGTCCCGTGTTCTCCTACCAATGTATCCAAACCCTGGAAACATAAAAAAGAACAGAAGTTCAGAAATGTAAACTCTGTTTATTGACAAATTGGTTATACCCAAAGTTAACTACCTGTGGGAGTTTGTCTATGAACCCAGTGGCGTTAGCAAGCTCAACCGCGGTTTTGATTTCTTGATCGGACGCATCTCTTTTCCCGTAAACAATGTTTTCTCTGATCGTTGTCGCGAAAAGTATTGGTTCTTGACTTACTAGACCGATTTTGCTTCTGACCCATCTAAGTTGAAGCTTCTTGAAATCAATTCCATCAATTAAAACCTCTCCTGATTCAGGATCGTAAAACCTCTCAATCAAACTGATCACCGTTGATTTTCCGCTCCCACTCTGTCCCACCAGAGCCACGGTCGTGCCATTCCGTACAACCAGCGAAAATCCAGCAAAGATCTGCACATCAGGTCGCGCTGGATATCGAAAGTAAACATCTCTTAGCTCAATGTCTCCTTTGATCTCCTTCAAAACCGTACCGCTCGAGTCATAAGCATCGATCTTTGGTTTTCTTTTAATCGTCTCAAACATTTTGTAGGCTGCAGCTTGTCCGGCCGCAAAAGCGTTAAGAGAAGGCAACGTCTGCCCCAGGGCCCTGAATATATGTGTAAGAAGTTAGGGTTTTCAATATCATAAGATTGCTTTGTGGACAAGTAATCGTTATACTCACATTCCTCCAGACACAATTGAGAAAATCACGTTCATGACTTGACCTCCGTTATATCCTTTCTCCATTATCAGCCAAGCACCGTACCAAATCGCAAAACCGTGAGTACAGAAGACCACAACCATCATTATTCCAAGGCCTAAACCCGAGAAGAGCCCTTGTAGAACCGTAGATTTATAGGCAATTTCCAGCTTCGTCTCATATTTTTCTGTAGCTTGTTTCTCTCCCGTGAATGCCACAACCTAATTAAAATTAAAAACGTCAAAATCCGTAACATGATTCTATGTGTTTTTAAAACACAAGAATTTCGGACGGCTTGAGAACTTACTGTTCTAATAGACCCGACGGCTTGTTCTACTACGTTTCCTGCTTCCGCGTAAGCGAGTTGGCCACGAGCAGCCATTCTCGACATGATCAAGGCCATTAGTCCACTTGTGGCCGCGTGCAATGGAATGCACGGAAGAAGAGCTATTGTGAGTCGCCTGCCTTGGATAAAAGCGACCGTGAATCCACCAAAGAACGTTGATAGTAGTTGTATAACTTTCCCAACCTGTAGAAATCGAAGTCACAGAAAAAGAAGATTCAGTGACTTGTGGACCCTGTGGTGCAAGAAACAGCCGATGGTATATAATTATCAAAAACCTTTTCTCCCATGGAGTCTTGAATAAGAATGGTGTCTCCGGACATTCTTCCGATGACTTCACCGGTGTTTGTCTCGGTGTCAAAAAAGCCGATATCTTGTCTTAATATCGTTTTTAGGTATAGACCGCGAATTCTAGCGGATTGACGCTCCCCAGTTACCATCCAACAATAGACCTCTGACAAAGAACGAAAAAACTTTGTTAGCTTTGTAAACAAGTTAGGTTAAGCTAAAGGTGGGAAAGAAGAAAAACAGAGTTTGGGCTTACGCAGGAAAGACATAACACAAGCATAGACTGCAAGGTAAAGAAACTTCACAGCAACCTGAAATTAAAAAAAGAAAATCAATCAATCTATATAAACCGT